CAAGGCCTTTCTCCCTGGTACCTGATACGGTAGCTATGGCGCCACAGGGACTGGTGCTGGGCCGCGGGCTGGGCCGGTGGCTGACGCTGCTCTCGATGCTGCGCTACTTCCTCTCTGCCGCTGAGCTCCTTCTCCCCTCGCTGCTCATGGCTGACGCTGCTCTCAATCCAGCTAACGCTGAACGCTGCGCTAATCCTGAAGACTAACATCCAGTCTACTACTAACCTACCGACTGAGGCTGATACCCAGCTGATATAGTGCTGGGTCGGCTTCAGTCCTACTGAGGGCCTTCGGGTCTGGACCGTTGATTAGGCCCAACGGTTCAGATCCGATTTCGGAATCTGAAAAGTGGCACCAAACTGTGCCGCCAGCCGGTCCTACCGATGGACCTGCTACCTGGCCTAACCAACTAGCCGTTGGGTCTGCTGGGGTCTAAACAAGGCCTACCGGACCCTAAGCTGAACCGACAGGTCCTAGGCCTACCTAGACCTAACTGGCACCGTCGTGAGCCGGTCACTAGGCCTACCTGTGCCTACTACAGAACCGGGCCCTAACTGGGGCCCGTGTGGTATCAGTATGCCACAGGCGATGATGACCTTGGAGATATTATCGTCGTACTGAACAGCCCCATGTTATTCAGAATCTTCATTCATCTAGTTCCATTTGGATTTGAAGACAGGTCTATATTTCAACAGCTTCATGGGTGTACCAACTAATCTAGACCGGATGTTGCTATCTATCAACTTCACCTTCCACTGCGACAACCTTTCACAGCCAAGCTCCAAACATGACGATGTGCAATACCACAGTTTCTGGATGAACAGTGCGGTGCCACCTCACCAAAATGTCTGGCCACGCCAGCCAAGCCAGCCAAAAAATAAACAAAAAAACAAGAAACAAAAAAAAAACTATGCTGAACCATTGCCTGGCCCGGCATGCCCGGCCAGGCACGCCCAGGCCAGTTGGGCAGAGGGGAGGTCGCCTGGCAAAACCAGGCGGGTAAAATAAGAGACAAGGATCCCAAGAAAACAAAAAAAAGACTTCAGGCCAGGACAGCGCTTGGCCTCAGCAGTCAGAATCCGATCTTAACTTCGATTCTGGTGATGGGTCATCCAGGGGGGTTGGGGGGTATCAACAGTGACTAAAGGGGTTTAAAAGGGTACATTTTGACTCATGCTTTCTCATCATTTTTTTCTTTAATTTAACAAGGAATTTCGAGGTGGCCCTTTATGCGCTGGGACTGCCCGGGACCCTGCCCGGCCCAGGCCGCCTGGGAGGGTACCCGGGCGACCTTCCCCCAGCCAGGCTGCCCGGGGACCAACACAGAAAAAGACACAGTGCTACCGCTTTGGCGATATGTGGTTTGCAGTTATTTTCCACCTCGGCAAAAAGAGGCTCGGAGGTAGTGGTGGTTTGAAGAGAAGTAATTGATCACAAGACGGCTGTCAGAACTCGTTCGCACATTCCACCGCTCATGGTATCCTTGTCATAAACACTTGATGAGCAGGAATCAGCCTTGCTGACGAGATTCTGTATCGGCAATAAAACAGATTTAATCAATCGGTTAAAACTTCCATGCATGGGAAACGAGTCTGAGATTTGCCAACATCGTCACCATTCAGAAAAAGAACGGTCACGATGGCTTACTGTCGCGTCTTCAAGAGAGTACTCATCGTCATACCCATCTTCGTCTGCCTCTCCTGTGGAAGGATCAACCTGCCACCGCACATGCAACAACAGCATAAAAAGAACCAGAGTCCAAATTCAGATTCCCGATTTGATGTCCTTCGGAAGATCAAACCAGAGTCCAAATTCAGAATCATAATTCCTTATCCTTCGGAAGATTGAACCAGAGTACAAATTCAGATTCACAAGTTCTTGTCCTTCCAAACATCTGCTAAACAATTGGCAAGATACAAGAGAAGATAAGCACAGCCCTCAAAATGACAGGAATTAATCAAGACATGGTCCAAAAAACAAACCAAAAAAAAGAGTGATGATTTTCTTCAATGCCCACTGGAATAGAATTAGATGACACGAGGACAAATCAGCTGCTGTGAAGAACACCATACGTACAGAACAAAGACGCTGATCATCATCTAACCACCAATTCATCAATCCGCAATGCAGGGAACATCAGACCTTTCTATTGATGTATTGCAGAACCTAAAGTTTCTACACACATCTGATGTGAAAGGTTTCTACTAAAATCAGAAAAAAGATCTGGTGCAGCTATACTCGCAAACGAAAGAAGTGTTTGTGGATGCATTACCTTGCAAAGACATGCATGACATAGACAAGTAAGAGCAAGGGGAATGGAGTGTGAGATGCAAGGGTACCCACATGGCGTAAGTGACAGCACTTATAAGGGGGTGTCACATTATTCTTTGCATGCATGCACGATGCGGAGGTGTCACATTATCCTTTACAGGCATGCACTGAAGGCATGCAAGAGGTGAAGGTGGACAGAAAACAAAACACCAGAAAAAAGGTGGATCACAAGATGCTCTAGGCACATGCTAGTGAGTAGTATCCAATCATCCACTGTTCTTTCGCTGCATGTAGAAAGGGGGGAGGTCATAGGACATTACATTGTGCTTTCCGTGGATGAGAAGTGGGAGAAGGAAAGTTGCTGGGCGCACTAGTGTGCTTTCCACAGACACGATTCAAGGCATCACAAGAAAGTTTCCAGACATATAGGGAGAGGGTGAACTGGACCCAGATCACCAGACCTCAAGGAGGACACTCGTACCCTGTTCACCAGGTGGGTATCGGGATAGTGGTGGTGCGGCTGGGCGGGCCAGATGAGTTAATTTCCTATTCTCCACTGACCCTGGATTATCCCATCACTGCAATGGTCTCATGCTGTTGTTCATAAACCAGCAGCCTGCAGCAGCAGAAATTTCTGAAACCACCCACTCCATCCTACCCAACCCCTTCCCCCCTGCCGGCACTGAACCAACCTCACCAAGCCCCGCCCTCAGTTCTGCATTCACCCGGCTCAACTCTGCTCAAGTGGGCCGTTGCCCCCAAGCCCAGCCCTATCCCTGCCCAAATGACCACCGTTCCCTCCGTTGACCAACCCAAGACGACCACCCCAAGGCGTTAATTACATAACTTCATAAATTCTCTGCAGTTCTCCTCGACTTACTGAAATATTGCAATCTACTGTTCCTGAAGAATCTCCCTTTCTGTATCTTAATTTCTTAAGAGATTACTGTAAAACCATATAGCTGACTCAATATCTCTTATATATATACATATATATAGTCAAACAGAGCTGCCCGGTAAACCGTAGGCAGAGACGGAGAAGAGGACAACAAATGAGGGGCTGTGGCAAACTGTTTCGTCGGAGTTTCACCGGCTCATCAGGAGGCTGAACCCTCAACAGTCTGCAGAATCCCCTAACTGATTACACTGTAAGTGATAATCCACCTTAACCCCGGCTGTGGTCAAGCATCAACAACTGCCCGACAACTGATACCCTGAGGTGGGCACCAACCACTGCCCTCAAGCTACCTGTGACAAAAGTCGAAGCAGACTATCACTCACCCACACCAGATGGAAAACTCTACAGACTGTCAGTTCACACCCCATCACAAGCAAGCAAAACACCCACGAAACAAAGAAAGGTCTGTCACAGCCAAATTATATATATCGTCAAATAGAACTGCCCGGTAAACCGTAGGCAGAGAGGGAGAAGAGGACAACAAACGAGGGGCTGTAACAAACTGTTTCGTCGGAGTTTCACCGACTCATCAGGAGGCTATACTCTTATAAAGCAAATAGCGATACTCTTATAAAACAAATAGCAGGTCTCGAATGACGCTCCCACGTGAGACCCACCTTCCAGTGCTGGTAACGTTTTTAGCTGGGCCCTTTGTGGAGCGCGTCGGTTCATTTTCTTTATTTTTAGCCACTCCTGGACGAGTTGCACAAAAGACAAAACAGCAGATTCGTTGTTTTTCTTTTTTCTTTTTTCTTTTTGGGGATGCAGGTGGACCGAACTTTCCCGAAGGGTCGGTCCAGCATCACGGGCAGGGAGAGCTGGCAACGTCCAGGGGTAGAGGTCAGGCAAACTCGTACCATTTTGAGCGGCAGATTCATTCCATTTTGCAGGGCCAGGAGGGGCACGATGACGAGCGGGAGGGGAAGGAGGCGGAATGGGAGGAATATTGAACGAGCCCTGCTCGGCGTCGAGGGGCGGGATGACGAGTGGGAGGAGGGGAAGGAGGACAGGGAGGACGACAAGCAGGAAGACAAAAAAAAATATGCCCGTGTATCTCCCCAAGTTACAGCGGAAGATTCTTCCCACTTTCCATGGGGGGGGGAGGGGGCGTGATGACGAGCGGGAGGAGGGCAAGGAGGAGAAATGGGAGGGGCGGGATGACGAGCGGGAGGAGGGCAAGGAGGAGAAATGGGAGGAAAACGAACAGGCCCCGCTAGAGGAGGAACGGGAGGACGACGAGCACGTGGTCAGGGGCGGGATGACGAGTGGGAGGACGGGAAGGAGAATGGGGAGGATGATGACCAGGAAGACAAAAAAATATGCCCGTGTATCTCCCCGTTTTCAACCGGAAGATTCGTTCCACTTTGCATGGGCAGGGGAGGGGGCAGGATGACGAGCTGGAGAAAGGGAGCAGGACGAGGGGAAAGAGAAGCAGGACGACAAAAAGTGGAGGGGCGAGTGGGAGAGGGGAAGGAGGAGGAGGAGGAAGACAAATAAGTACACCCATGATGACGAGTGCGAGGAGGTGGAGGAGGACGGGGAGGGACGACAACCAGGAAGACAAACTATGCCCGTGTATCTCCCCATGTTCCACGGAAGATTCATTCCACTTTGAATGGGGGGAGGAGGGGGCGTGATGACAAGCTGGAGGGGAGCAGGACGAGGGGAAGGAGAAGGAACGGGAGGATGGCAAACAGGTGGAGGATGGGAAGGAGCTGGATGAGGGGAGCAGGACGACGGGGAGGGGGAGGAACGGGAGGACAACAGACAGTTGGAGGAGGGGCGAGTGGGAGGAGGGGAAGGAGGAGGGAAACAAAAAACTATGGCCTTGTCTCTCCCCATGTTCCGGCAGAAGTTTCCTTCCACTTTGCACGGGGGGGGCAGGTCTTGGGCGCCAGCGGAGCCGTGGAGGGCATCGCCTTGTATCTTTTAATCCAATTAAAGTGAGATGTGTGTATTACCTCCTTGACTCGGAACTTGAGCGTGTTTGAGAATTTCCCAAATGCGCAGGCATTTTCAGGTCTGCTCATAAGAACAAACGTCTGGCCAGGTGCTCCACAAGGCAGAGACTTCAATGGTATGGTTGCTTCCTCAGCAAATTCGTCTCCTTCGGTGAGCTCCATAATCACGCTGACATTCTCGAGGAGTTGTTCAGCAATTGTATTCGTGCAATTGAACTGGAACACTATATGTGCTGGGAAGATATGCTTCACAACATTCACCGAGTATTCCGTCTCTGCCTCTGTAAGCTCCACAGGTGGAGATGACTTGAACAGCTTTCCAAGTTGGGCGAACTCTGGAATAGAACTGAGCAATGACACGTAGGCTTCCTGTGCACCAGCACCGGCAGCAGGAACACCATTTTCCAGGCCTCTGCCAGAAACTTCCTGTGGCTTTTTCCCCGGGGCCAGCTTCTTATCCTGTGCTGATGGACCCTTTACATCTCTTGGAACAGAAGTGATGTCGAATGATTCATCCAGTTGATACTAAACAAGACAAAAACAGTACCGACATTGTGTCTCTTAGATAACCAAACCTCATTCATTTCTATGTAAATGCATGATCTGAAAAGCCTTACAACCGCAAACAGAAACCACCTCCACCATGTCCCTTTCGACAATTCCTCAACACAGAGATGTCCACCATCATCCCTCGCAGTTCCTTAGTCTAAAAAGCACCGATGAACTCGCAACTAGTAGCAACAACCTTCGAACCTTCAAACTTGCACGGTTTCCTCTGGTCAACTGAGTAGGTGTGCCTCTCTCTCTCTCTCTCTCTCTCTCTCTCTCTCTCTCTCTCTCTCTCTCTCTCTCTCTCTCTCTCTGTGTGTGTGTGTGTGTGTGTGTG